CAAGTTTTGTGCAAAAACGCATGATCGCTCCGGCTCGCCTGGTGCGTTCCAGCCTACGTTGCAAAATGAAACCCGCGGAGGAAATATGTGCTTGACTGGAAACCGTAGTCTAGGTTGAAACACAGCAGGCTTGCTGAAGCGATCATACGTTTCTGCGTTAAACTTGAAGCAGTCAGGTCGTTAACTGAATAAGTGGTTGTTGCTTTACATTTAACTTTTGTACTCATTACAGTAAATTTTATATGAAAGCAATTTCCGGTGAGCGGTTGTTCTTCGAAAATGGCCAAGCTGTTCTGCTTCCCGAATTAGCAATTTTCTCGCTAAAATCTTCACGTGTCTATACATGAGGCTCAGACTTGCATGAAAGTTGTTATCACCTTCCTGAGATAGCGCTTGGTCACGAAATCTATTGGCAAAATTTTAGCAACAAAGCCTGCCTGGTTGCCAATTCGAAATATCCGAAAAGACCCACACTTTCACAAACATACATGCATTGCTGTGTATCTTCGGATTTTTTGCAGAACAAGTCCACCACCACCAATTCATGGTGTGCAGCTGGCCATCGTTGCCATTCCATACTCACTGATATTTATTGTGGGAGTGCTTGGCAATACTGCTGTACTCACTTATGCCTTATTCATCACAAGGTATTGTTTTTCGATATTTTCTAAACAGACAAATGCGAAAAAAACATGACACACATTGCATGCAAATATCTTCGACAGTGCCAGCACGGCTGGCGAGATTTTCGTATCATTGAATAGAACCTACCAGAGAAACGTGAACGCTCGGATGGCCTTCGATCTGCGTGCTTGCAGATAGTGCGTTAGGTGGGCATCAGACAAAACCATGCTAACTCAAAACCGAAGGGCTTGGCACTGCTATGTTCAGCTCTTAATGCAAACCAATGACACTACGGACCCGCACTAAGTGTTCAGGGAACCTTATAATTTTGGTTGTGTGTGACCTATTTCTTGATGGCTAACGCGCGTCTTGAGAGCAAAAAGTTGTAACTGCAAACAGGTAAGCTGAGGTAACAAACCTTGAAATGACTGCCATTGACTTACACCTCTTCCACACCTCCTCTTTCCTACTTTAGGAGTACCTGAATGGTGGCTTGCGCTGACTCTTTTTTTTTTTTTGAATGTAAAAAACTATCGCAAGGTTTTGGTCGGTAAGCACTTCAAGCGTTTTCAAAAAAAAAGCAGCCAAGTGCTAATTTAACTTTCTGATGACAATCCACTAAAGAAACTTGTTAACATCAAAATGTTTGTAAAATACAACAGACGCAGAATTTCGAGATTTACTGTTAATGTATTCTTTCATGACGCAAAAATGTAGTATGATGATAACATGGCATACACAAGCGTCTGCCTGAGCTTACAAGTAGAAAAGTTAGAAAGCTAAAATTGTGTGACTATGGTCCCCGATTATGTAACGGGCCGCAAACCCGTTTTTTGTGTGTCTTAAACCGTGTTTCAAAAGCACATCCATATTCGAGAATGAAAAGGCAACAGATCTGAAGTTTTTAAAGTGCAGTTCACCAAACAGTGGAGTATAAATGAAATAAAATTTACCTCCAAATTTTCCTACAATCCGACTTGCAATCTCAGGTTCAGGTTTAACAAGTTTTTACACCTCAAAGCAAAGTAAGCTGAGAGACGCAGCTGGCTTTTTTTCATCCTGGATCTACTGATGATCACAACTTATGTCTGCACATCATTTCTCGCAACAAAGCGATAGCCGCGTGTGACTCTTTTGGACCTGTCATTAATTTATTAATGAAAAGTAAAATAATTCCCAACCTTTTGGTCTTTGGAAAGTATCCGAACCTCACCTTATCGCCTGAATTCTAGAGAGCATCCAGTCAAGAATGTTTGAGTTTGAACTAGCGCAGGAAATTTTTATTAATTTAGCTCTATTTGGTCCGTAACACAGTGTTTTGCAGAAGAAAGAACTATTATTCCGTTAGAATCCATTTCGACTGAAAAACTAACTGCAGTAGGATCGGAGTATTGGGAATATACTCATTTGGTTTTCAGTAGTAATCGTTGTCTAATAGTCGCTGGGCATGCTTGATGTTACTATTAGTGCTTTCAGTCCCGAAGTGGTTAGACAATGAAAATGGCGGATGCTATAAGTCTTTTTACGCGTTTTTTGCAGCTATGCAATGCAAAAACGCATATTGTCGAGGGATTGTCTGTGTTGCTTCTGTAACGAGTTTTCATCTCGAGAATCACAAAAGCTACAAGGCTGAAAATTTGGTTACTTAATTAAGTGCGGGCTCGTGTTCTCAGAATGAACGCTCAGTTCCGCGAAGTTCTCACGTATGGGCGCGTGAAAGTTTTTTTGGCGGGAAGACATTTTCGGGGACGATCCATGCCAACAGGCTGGAACTCCACAGGGATGCTCTTTGGCCGAGTCTAATCCAAAGATTTCAAATTCAACCTTCACGCACCCCTAAGTCTAACGTACGCACACGTCAAAGTTCAAACTGGCATCACGCCAACTCCAGCTTTAAGTTGACCAATAAGCTGCAGAGAGCTGCAGTTTTGCAGCACCACTTGCCGCCCACTTATGCGCCTGTGAAAGTAAATTGAACTTTTCAGCCTCTCTGCATCTCACGTACGAACGTGTGAAAATTTCACGCATGCGCTTTTGTAACTTCAGAATTGAACCAACCAGAGGATCTGAACTTTCTGAGCATAGCCGACGGTGGCCTTTAACCAGATGCACGCAAAGACGAATTACATGTCACCTTCGTGTCTCACGTACGCTTCACGTGTAGACGCGTGAAATTTGACGTAACTCCGCAACCAGAGCAGCTGGATTTCTGAGCGTTACCCAGGACCGTGTTTGAGCAATAGCGGGCAAAGAAAGCACACACGTTGCCACTCACGTACGAACACGTGGAATGTGACGTAAATCCGCAACTGAAGCATCCAGAGCGCTGAATTTTTTGGGCATGGTTTGGGAGTCATTGCAATAATTTCTAGCAGTCGTGGTGGATAGTCCCAATTCTTTTAGCTAGAAGCATCTGCCGGGAAGAATGTGCTACTAGAATGCGCCACTGGCGAACAAAGCCTACAAGGGAACTGTGCAAAAAACGCATCCTCGCACCGGCAGCCGGTACGTTTTCGAATAAGTTTTATTCTCTTTGTTGCTTTATTTTTCCAAACCAAACTTAGGTCACTTCGTTCGTCCGTTCTCACATTGGGCAATACATTTGTATACATTGTGGCGCTTTCGATAGTCGATATGATGGTGATACTATCAATTCCATTTCACATGACTTCGATGATAATGAACAATTGGTTTTACGGGGAATATATTTGCAAAGTGTACTGGATACTCGAAATGTCTAATAAGGTGATTTGTTCAAGGAGTTGCTTACAATTTGTTTGCTATAACAAATACGTGTAAGAAACTTTCTGAAGCGGCAGTCAGGAGCTGAACGCTTTGCATGTCCTCTCTGCTGGCCGTTTGCTCTGTCTCTCTCTCTCTCTCCCTCTCTCTCTCTGACATTTATAGTCTTATGTTAAGAAGGTTCAATATATGTAGAACGAGCAAATCATGAATTGCATTATCTACGCCTTAAATTTCTAGGCCCAGAAACCAATTGCAACTCTGATATAGTTTGCGTTTAGGTGTGTTCAACATTTATAATGACGGCGATGGCTTTCGATCGCTATATGGCTATTTGTTATCCTGGCATTGCTCACGTAAACGCAAATGCACTTATTGCTAATTGTTTAAAAACAGAGTATTTTATAATGTACTGTACAACCACACATATAAGGGAATGACGTTTTGATATGTTTTGCGCGATGAGTTCTTTTGCAATCATCTCTCAGATGCGCAGCAACTGCCTTTGCGTGTAATATAGCCCAACTGTCATAAAATGATACAGCGGCTCCTACATGCGCACATGCGGATTTAAAAATTGATTTTTCAGCTCCATGCATGGCTGAAAAATTAGACGGAATCTCTACTAAACTCAATCGAAACAAGGGAAGTGACGTGGCAAGAAACGAAAGAAACAAAATCATACTTGCGCTAATATGAAAACGTAGGGCGAGGGAGGAGGTGGTTAATGATTCTTTCTTTCCTGGCACATGATCACAGGCTATGGAAAATTCTGCTTCCTTGCTTTCGCAGTTCCAGAGTTGGATCATCACGATAGGCGTGATCTTCCCAAGAAGCGTTTTTACATTTACATAAAAGTGCAAAAAACTGACGAAGAAAATGGAAAAAATTAATCGATGCTTTCCAAAAATTTCCTAATAATTCAATTTTACGTTGCAAAATGCTATAGCATAATAAAGTATGAGGTTAAATTAACGGAATAATTTTATAATTTTTTTTTTTTTTTTTT